GAGAGTAGTAGTAGTGATCCTCGGCCTCTTGGAGTTTGAAGAAGGCGGCGTGGACGAGGAGTCGCATGAGGCGGCGGAGGGCGTCGTGCTTGGATGGCGGGAGGTGGAGGGCGGAGGCGAGGGCCGGAAGGGAGGTGGGCCCCGGGGAGTGACGGTGGATGACGTCGGGTATTCCCAGCTGGATCGCACATTTCAAGCACTTGTTGATGATGAAGCTGTAGGAGTAGCTCCAAATGCGGCCCTGAGCTTCGATCAGCTCGATATCACTACTGCTCATCATGTTTCGTTTGTGGACTGTGGTGCCTGCTCCGCTCTCTCTGAGTGGCCTATTATCATCATTTTATTTATACCCGAGGCCGAGGTACGTACGCAGCTGGACATGTCTATTCAAATTAATCACAACCCTCCTCCCACTGTCCCACATGTACTCACCAACTAATTAATACAGATTAATTCATTTAACACCAACTCCCACGTGCGGCACACTGGAATTAAATTAGGTGATTGGTAGTCAAATTTATTGTTCATGGATGTCCACACGTATTGCTAGTCAAACTTAGTGTCCCATCCCTACTTAGACGATTAATCAATTCAGAAAACAACAAAGGTTATTCTTGTTACTTAGTGGATCACGAGCCCATGATGTTATGTTATCCCTGCTGTATGTGGGTTCTAGGGCCACTATTGGGCCCATTGTTTTCCCTCAGCCCACGGTGCATTACGATTTACGAGTCAAGGCTAGGGGACTTTTGTTTGCTAGTAGGGACATTGGTCGACCCGGTGGGTATGTACAACCCATTTTTTTCAACGGGTAAAGATCAAAATGAGTCAATTTACGGGTCGACCCGCGGGATTATTAGATACCCAGCTAAAAGGCCCAAGGCCTTAATGATACTGTTATTGGCCAAGGTCAAACTAGTTTCGTAGCCATGCAATATAATCATACGGTAAGTTTGGACCCTTAGCAACATGAGCCAATTAACTACTAACTAAAAACCAGTCTTTCTACTTTACTAGAAATAGCCCGCTCGCTACGCTTCGCGTGTAGACAGAAACATAATAATAAGATACACGAAACATAATATTAGAATAAATTGAACAATGGTAAACCATCTGGTCTGCAGGAAGGTGTGAAGATGGATTGTGAAAGAAAAAAAAGTATATATATATATATAGCTCCAATATTTGGATGTAATGGTTGGAAAGAGTAATTCCTTAGGAGTTAGGCATGAAAAGGTTAATTGAATGCAACAGACCGGAACCGTTAACAGGAAAACTAAACTGCTATTAGAAGTACATCGTGCAACAAAGGTAAACTGAACAAGTAGTAAATGATTCGGCAAGGCAAAACTCCATTCACATCAGCTGTTCTTGCCGCGCAATATCTTCTTACAGGTCATTACACGCCATAAATTCTAATGAAAGCTATCAATTTGCTTGCTTCGGGCTTTGACAACTGCAGCTAGTAGTATCTGGTAAATATGGTACCCTTGCGGTCAGATGTTGTGGACTCTGGATTGAATCTTCACCCACCTGTGGTTGAAGCTTCACTAAGTTGCAAGGAAGTTCAAGACCTTAGTTACATCAAATACAGTATGCGATTAACATGTACAAACAAATATATGGAGACAACACCAGGGCATGACAATGATTTTGATCTCGTAATATTGGTGGACAAAGATTCAAAGAGGTTGAATCTATAATTAATTAATGAGTTTGTAACAAAGGTCAGTAAGCCATTCACATGTACGAACAACGATACTTCAACAATTTTGCTGCAGCTCTTCATTAAAAGACAAACAACAGTCATGCTAGCAAAGTCATGAAATTTTAGATGAGGAATTGTAGAAGCAGATCTAAGTTGACATTTAACCGTTTTAGCCATTTGAGCAAACTCTACAAATAAAAGTCGTTTCTATCTTGTTATCTACCTATCAAAGCAGCAAAATGAAGCCCAACAGACAATGCACCACTCGAGATGGAGAAGAGTAAGAGGAAGAGTTTGCCACCTATTATTTTGGTTTCTTCAGAGCCGTAAATGAGTTGAATGATCAACTGTACATGAACCGATCGATCCTACCATGCTCTGCCTTTTTCCCAACAGTGAATCATCCATCTACATAGCTGTAGCCACATTGAAACTTCATATGCGTTCCTTCCAACCAATCTCGCACAACAAAGTCCCCTTACTTTGAAACTGAAACCAACGACGAAGCATTAGCACCGAACCCTACTGAAAGCCCTAATTCATTAATTCAGAAATGTGCGCAAACCTAAAATATTAATAGCAACATATTGCTGATGTCCTTTAGACTTGAGTGAGGCAAAGTGTCTTTTTTAGTTGTTAATCAAGGCCAATGACATCACGTGTCTAAAAGACTCAACACAGCTACACTATTAATGTTAAAGGAACTCAGTATACAGTGCAAAACACAAGCGGGGCACTTGGTTCTATCAATCTAATATGTTAATCATGCCCACCATTATGTTGCCAAACAACCCTGAATCAAAAAGCAAACATGCTTACAGTGTCCATTTGAGTAGCAAAGTATCATTAACTTTGTGGTGATAAAATGATGCTTAGTTATTTGAAATACAAAATAAGAGTGGGCATATGATGCACCTGCCATCCTATCATCAAAATTTGTCATATCCAGGTGAGAAACAAAGCACATCAAGTATACGTTCAAGGGTGGTGAAAAACTACAATGGGCATAATAAGAGAGCAAGTTTATATAAGGACAAACTAAGAAACCATGTCATATCTTGTATGATCATTAAACTGTGGACTTCCCAGGAGTCACATGCTTTACATGTTTAAGAATTAAGGACTAACATGCTTATATAAGCATAAATCTGGTCTCAGCTAAGCACACTTCAATATCTAGCTCCAAAGAACCGGTATGAATTGTGCAGAGAACCCAAGAGGAGCAAGAAGGACAAACCACTGACCTTTACATTTTAGTATGGAAAAGCATCCCAACTTGTGAAGTTACCTCCCTGTCCTCGTCAGTACAGTTACTCTGCAAGAAAGGATAAAACAATAACAGTGCCGTGAAAGGAATGAGCTTGAAAGGAAAATAACAACCATCTTTAAGTCTTTGCAAAAGGAAGTTCAAATACACCTATGGGCTTTTATGATTTTGAAACAAAAGCGATGATATCAATTGGTAAATCAAAATCATGTGATGGAGTTATTATTCTTTTCTATGTTGCTTAAATAAATTCTGTATAAAGCTCAAACACAAACAAAACCGCTTCAATAGATGGTCCCTTAAGCAGGATTCTTTGATGGGTTGCAGGGGTGGAATCTTCTCTCATAACAGGGTTCTTTGCTGGGATCACAACAATGTTCTCACCGACGATTATGTAGCTGTTAAAAAAGAAAGGGAAAAAATTTAGATTGTAGTATTTAACATGGGAAGCAAACTGAAGATGGAAAGAAATAAACAAAATAACATAACTGAACTCACTGCATACCATGAAAGACGGTGATCAAGGCCAAACTCATCTTAAAACTGCTACTCCCCATTTAGCATTGCACCTTTCTCCCCTTCTCACTCGTCCCACACCAGCACAACTTAAATAAAACCTCATAGCCTGTTCTGAAAGTCCTTGGGACCACTTCAGAGTCAGGATTATGCTCTAATAGTTTAAGTGAGAAGATTTTGTCTCCTACTCCCATACCAAAGAATATTAATCAATATACTGCACCATAATTAATAATACAAATAGCATCCTCCTTTAATTAAATTACAGGGTGTCAACCCTTCAGTACTCAAGCATCTTCTTCAGCTCCCTTCCTTCATCTGCGAAACACCCAATCAGTATATAACGTCAAGGCTAAACTCACGCTCAAATGATCATGCAAAATAAAGAGGTCTAAGACAACATAAAGAATACTGCAACCACCCAAATCACTCCACCACAAATGGAACCTAAAAGCAATTCATACACCTTCGCAATCATATTTGGCGAAACTAAAATCAAAGCATGAAAGTTTATAACCTTATGAAAAGCGTAACAAAAGCTGTACGTGGTAAAGAAGAAAAGAGGATCACTTTCAGTGTACACACATTTAGTCTGAAAGGCGAAACTCATAAAATTCCACATTCCTAGCTACTTGGAACCATTTGCAGCAAGCTATCATGACATTAATGGAGAAGTCCCTTGTAAATTCATCAAGTATCGCATAACAGGAGAATCAATTGAAAAGAAATAACACTTTCAGTTGAGATCATCACCATTTATGGCTCTTGACACATGATCAGTTGCTCAACTCCTTGTTGCCATTACTGAGATTGGATGTGCTTAGGGACAACTCCGTTTTTCTCACCAATCATTCCAAATCAAAAGCAAGAAAGTGGGAGCTTTTATAGGAAGTACGCAACACGTAATTGAAGAAAAAATAGATGTTTTAAGTTACAGCAGGAAGAAACACTTGTTGTTTGCAATAGATGCAAAGAGATTGGATCATACAATAAATGTAAAGAAGAACATGCTTTGACAACCGGTAATCTGCAAGCAAAGGCAACCAATCAAGTGTTTTGTCAATTTTTCCCTTGGCAAAGTTCCTATAAAAAATACTTATTGGCAAACAAATCTAAAATCCCTTAGTTTTTAACAGCAAACCTACCAACAAATCCCTAGAGTATGCGATGGGTAATACTTACTTTAGCTTGAAAGTAAGTCAAGGTTGAGGCCTCTTCTGGATTTCCCCCCAGCTCTCGCCTCCGCCTCTTCTGCATTTTCCCCGCCACTCACATATCAAAGGAAAACAGAGCAAGCAATTAAAGATTCGAAGAACTTAACTTAATGAAAAGAAGAGTGATTAAAGAACCTGTATCCGGACGGCGATGATCTCTTCCTTATCGCTTTTCCATTCCATGAAGAAATGGTCCGGTCCTCGCCACCAAACACCTAGCGAAAACAAATTCCAGGCACGGTAAAAACGGTGGCTCATCTCTCATCAATTCCATGGAGAAACGATCCGCTTCATCCCTCGTCGCCGAACACCTAGCCAAAACCAATTCCACCGGCAATTAAAAAATGGCAATAAAGATTTGGATCTCGTAACTATCCCTCCGCCGAAATTGATTCTTAACCGAGGAACCCAACTGAACCACATGTACCTTTACCTGTCTCTTCTCTCTGGCCCCTCTGTGATGTATCGGTCTTCTCTATCATCCCCGCTGATCGGCCGAATCCCTCCGACCGATCTCCCCTTTCTCATCGTCGCGTAGCCCATCGCGGCCAAAACAGAATGACAACCGATGCCTCTCCATCGTCTTCCTCTTCCCAAACGATTCCTCTCTTTTAATTCTTCTGCAACGGCGGAGAGAGGGAGAGATCGGGACCTGGGATTCCGCCATAAAGAGTGTAAGAAACATGAGATTGAAGGATGGAAGAAAGATTGGGATCCAACCAAAATGCTTGTTGAGAGGGTGATTTGTGCAGGAGTTATGAAAAGCAGCTGCAAAGGAAGGAGAGAGGAAGAGAAGGTTGCGTATGAAAAGGATATAAAGTATAGGGTAGTGCAGAGGTGAGTGGGGGATTATCCGTTGGGTACAGAAAAAAACCAGAGTATTCTTGGTAGCGAGTGGGGTAAAAGAGATCGATGTACATCTGTGTGAGAGGAGAAGCACGCCACGTGGGCCAACGAAGCCCAAACGTTTGGACCTCAACCAGTCGCAGTAGGCAAACGTGCGGGCCACTAATGAACAGTACTCAAACTGTGGCTTTTATATACCAATTTCAGGGTTATATACAGAGTACCTGATGAGTGCCTTTTATGCAATACCCAAGAAGACGAACCAAATTCTTATGGCGGACATTCAAAGTGGGGGAGGAGGGCACTAAACATATGAGTATTGCCAATTTATGGGTTATTCGCGGGTACCCGTTATTCGTTCCGTATACGTAATGAGTACCCGTTAATCGTATGGATTTGGGAAATGGGATGAAGTTTTCTCTCAAAATGAGATTGGGTACCCATTTCAGACGACGCGGGTACCCAATCCCCTCCCATTGTCCACCCCTAGCAAATAGTCCAATTCAAGTCGATCCAGGCATTCCATAACTAGATTTGGACCTTTGAATTTGCGTGGGCCCAGAAAATTCAGATCTAAGGGGTGAGATTTGAAGGCTTTTTATTTTTTCTAATTTCTTAAACGACTCTTATATTCTCATTCTAACTTGGATTTCAATTTTTTTTGCATAGATGGAACGTGGTAGATGTCCGGGACCACGTTACTATGATTTCTTTTTCTGTCTTTATGTTAAGCTCATTTATTTTTATCTCATTGTGATCTACAAAATGAGATCCATTTTCAATATATTACGACATAAAAAGATTTCATAGCAATCGTTACCACCTTGGTACCACGCTATACCACCTTCGTTTTAACTCAAATTCTGAAATTTATTGCACAGATGGAACGAAATCTTCTTGATCTATTGGATCTACAAATTTCTGGGGGGAAAGTACATGATTATAACGTACCACTCTATACCACCCTGGTATAGGTGTGGTAAATAGTGATACACAATGATAAATATGGTAAATGAAAGTTCGTATATTCATACTATCATGTATTTCACACCCATCTTACATATGTTATGTTCATACCAACATGGTACACTTCTGTACCACGTAGTATGATCTTATATATTACCAACAATCATATAATTTTGAACAATCATGTGAATTCAAAGGGACTGAGGGGAGGGTGCTAAGTATAATATAATTTTGAACTGTTGGAGAAAAGAGATTTGTGTAATTTATTCTCGTAACTCTTGGGATTAAAAAAGAAAATCCCTTTTTAGAGAACAAGAATCCAAGCGAAAAGAGCACAATCGGTAGGCCTATAAAAATATAATAGGCAGAGTGCAACAATCATGTGTGAATTCAACCCAAAAGAACACATGGGTCAAATCAAAGGGGAGTGTATAATTAACAATAGAAGAAGGTGCCAAAACGAGACTTCAGTATGTGTATAAAATATAAATAAATAGTCGCATCCTGTGCTTTAATCAAAGCACCCAAACCACAACCTCCCACACTATACTAATTAAGCTTAACTATAAGTTTTTTCTATTGTAACCCGATTAATCCGCAACCCAATCAACCCGCAATCCAACTGGTCTGGAACTCGATTGACCTGCCACTACAAAATTAATAAACATTAGGGACAAATAAAGGAGACGATATATGATTTACTTCCGTACCTGGAAATACAAGTTCAAGTGATTTTAGGGACAGTTGGACAAAGCTGTCTCCACAAATCAAGCGATAAACAATTAATTAGTTTGGAATTTTCTTGAGCGTCCCCAAAGCCCCATGTGCTTAATTAAATGCTAAATTTGTGTGAAATAGAACTTTAGCGATGAGCCGGTGAGTTATATTCCTATGATAAACTAACAATCCTTTTTAAGAAGCTAAGCGGGTTCAAAATCTAAAATTCACTTGAAATTATGTATTTTTAATTAAATTATAAAATTAAAACATGAAGCTCACTTGATTAAGTTCATCTTGCAAATTATCAATTGACTATAAGAAAGCTGTCTTTTAGTGTTGGTTTTGGGCAACTAACCGACACAAAATTTTGGTGAATAAGTGCCTCGATGATCATCACCGTTCAATTAACAACTAATTAATGGTGGTTAAGTGCACCAATCATGTCAATTCAAAGGGACTGAGGGGAGTGTGCTAAGTTTGAATTGTTTGTGTAAGGGATTTGTGTAATTATTAAAAAATAAGGTGCCAAAATGAGACCACAGAACACATAATGAGAAATTAATCGTCTCTTTTTTATTCCTGCGTGCGTGCCTCGATCACCATTATTCAATTAACAAGGAAAAAATGGCGGGCAAGTGCACCAAATCATGTCAAATTAAAGGGACTGCAAGTATAATTAACAATAGAAGGAGGTGGCAAAATGAGACTAATTATTAAGCTGTAGGTGAGTTTGTTTCTTTCTTTCTGCATGCTAGTATGTATATATAGTCGCATCCTGTGCTTAATCAAAGCATCCAAACCACAACCTCGATCCCACACTAACTAATTAAGATTCCGTACCGGGCATATATCATTCTGTTCTATTGTCTCCTTAATTGGTTCCTTCCTACATATCCAAAAATATGTCTGCTGCTAACTCGTCCCCGTCAGCGGATCGGAACTCAGCAAGCTTCCATGACACCCTCTGGGGCGACAGCTTCCTCAACAAAGTTGATGAGTCCCTCCACGTCCAGCAGGTTGCATGCATGGTTAACAATTAATTGCCATGCAAATTAAATGACTACTGATCTTAATTAATTACTAGTTTCTTGACTACTTAATTAGTTTGTTAACTGTGGTGATCTTTCATCGATCAGGGCCAAAGCGAATATGAAGCTTTGAAGGAAGAGGCGAGGAAGATGTTGACACCCGACGGGAGTATAGATCATGCTACTGATGACGGCAGCAACAAGCGAAGAACTGCCGACAAGCTGCGCTTGATAGATGCAATTCAACAGCTAGGTGTCGGATATCACTTCGAAACAGAGATCGACAAAGCACTTGAGGAAGTGCAGGCTCTCGGAGACAAATTATTCATTGTGGATGGTGCCATTACTGATCTTTACCACGAGGCTCTTCGATTTCGACTCCTCAGACAACAAGGACTTCTTGTTTCTTCCGGTGGGTACACACAATAGTTAGTTTCTGGCGAGCTAGCTAGGTATGATGACATTTTTAATAATTAATGCATGCATGCATGTACGTACTTGTGGCTGGCAGATGGGTTCAAAACATTGAAGGACGGTGAAGGGAGGTTCAAAACTTCATTGGCGTCAGACGAGCAAGGCCTGTTGAGTTTGTATGAGGCAGCACATGTGGCTTTGAACGGAGAAGGAATATTGGACGAAGCTCTGACATTCGCAACAAAGACCCTCAAGTCCATCCTCCCACACCAGAGCCCTTCATTCCACAAGCAACTCCAATTCGCCCTCCGCCTTCCAATCTGGAAATGTGTCCCCAGGTCGCTTACTAGACACTACATCGATATCTACTCGGAGGATGCCTCCCACAATGAAAAACTCCTCATGTTCGCAAAGTTGGACTTCAACATGCTCCAAAACGACCATCAGGAAGAACTCCGCGAAGTTTCAAGGTAATCAGTTTCAGACTCGTGTTTTAGTAAAGCACAGACTTTCATTATAAGTTTACACTTGTGTTCTGACACATCATCGATCTACTACTTACCTTAATTTATTGCTTTGTACTAAACATATATATAGGTGGTGGGAAAGTCTCAACGTGACGGTCAACTTTCCATATGCACGAGATAGAGTTGTGGAGTGCTACTACTGGATCTATGCGGTTTACTTTGAGCCCAAATATCACTTGGCAAGGATGATAATCGTCAAGATCATATCATTGTTATCGCTATTGGACGACACTTATGATAACTTTGGTACACATAATGAAGTTGAGATCCTGACCGCAGCTATTCAGAGGTTCGTTTCTTCCATGAGATTTCCGGCCCCGTAATTATAAGACACGAATGATCATTCACTATCCATCGCCTACATATATACATTTGCTTCTTTCTTCAGGTTCAACGTGAGTGCCCTTGAAGAGCTACCTGAAGCAATGAAGAACATGTACCGTCTGATCTTAAATGTGTATGATGAAATCGAAATGGAACTCGCAAAAGCGGGACCAACTTTTGCAGCTGATTACGCTAGGGAAGAGGTAATTATATTAGTGTTTTTTGCTCGATAATTCCCTCCTTCTAGCAGCACTTCCGACCCTTAATTATATATTATGATGCATGCATGCAGCTGAAGAAATTGTGTCGCTCCCACTTGACTGAGATCCAGTGGCGCACCAAAGGCCATGCACCGACGCTAGAGGAGTACAAGGCCTTCGCATATATTACCAGTTGCTGCCCCATCCTCTGCACTTCTGCTTTCGTCGGCATGGGAACAGAAATAGCCACCAAAGAGGCCTTTCAATGGGTCACCAATGAATCCAATAAGATGGTTAGAGCTGGCTCTATCATTTTTAGGCTTCAGAACGACATCGTTTCTCACAAGGTAACCCTCCATATATTGCATGTGTATTATATTCCAAGCCATATATTCACGACCTTGCTAGCTAGGAAATGTCACTTTAATTATGAGAAACAACTTTAATTTATTGGTCGTTGTACTTAGTAAACATACGGCCTAATCCCCAATATTTTCTTAATTCGTGCCTTTCATTTTCTCAGTTTGAGCAAAACCGAAAGCATGCGGCTTCAGCTGTCGAATGCTATGTAAACGAGCATATGGCATCAGAGGATGAAGCTGTTGAATTCCTGTGGGCAGAGATTTCTAAAGCGTGGAAGGACATTGCCGAAGAATGCCAAAAGCCAACACTATTGTCAGTAGCCCTCACAGATCGTGTTCTCAACTTCGCACGCTCCATTAGTGTTATATACGAAAAGGAAGATGGCTACACGAATTCCTACCTCTTGAAAGCCCACCTCAGTTCATTGTTTGTTGATCCTATTCCTCTTTGAAAAAACACCTCAAGAA